ATCAGGCTACATCGTAGCCTTAGATGGCAAAATTAGTTCATACTAAACATGATAAAATCTGAGATTAAATTGATGAACCAAAATTCCATATCCAAACAAGGGAAAAATAAGTCTAGAAGAGCAAAAACCCAATTTGTAGAACTCAGATCTGTGGCTTGAAGTGTTGCGCTTGTCCCTTTGTTTTGGATTGAAGTGTCCAGCGGCTGCCCTTGCATCTGCCGTCACCCACACAGAATCTGCGCAAGCTTCTGCCTCAAACTCGCCTCAAAGCTCTCTGCCGGCTGCCTCCCTGGTTTCTCTCGGAAGTCCTCCCTGGAAGTCCTCCAAAAATCCCCTTTTTATATCAAACCATGTGTGAAAACTCCGTGCCCTTCTTTTTCTAAGCCCATCTTTGTTTTGCCACGTGTATGCAGAAGGCAATTTCAATTATGGTCTTTGAATGGGAAAATCATGGAACAGACTTGATGTTTTCAGCTTTTGTCACTTCAGCCCATTTACTCTAGATTTCTTTAGTTTTACCCTCTACCTACAAAGAATGATAAAAGCAATGTAAAACCAAATAAAATCATTCCAATAAAATATAAAAGACTACAATTCATGACTAAAAAGCCATGTATAATTGTATGAAATTTAGGCTCATCACATGACGCGTGGATTCTTCATCGGAACATATAAATACCTCTCAAGGGCCATGCCAAAAGGTAATTGAAACCAACCCTAAGCTCCTTGTTTCTCCGCTTTAAAGGTAGCCTCGATTATTGCTGACTTAGGCATCAGAGTGTCTACCCCGATGATCCACCTCGGGGCTTTGCAGGTCGATCCAGAGCGCAGATACGGATTGAAGAAGGACTTCCGGTTTGGTGTAGTTACATTTTGGCGCCGTCTGTGGGAACCTGAACTAAAGGCTCCCTTATTGCTCTTATCATGGTTAAAACTAGGTCAGCCCGAGGTGGAAACTCGTCTCAGCCTCTTGGACGAGGCCAGGTCCCCAGCAACCTTCCACCTCATCCCCCACCCCTAATCCCGAATGTATTCCCTCATGTTGACCATACAGAAGGAGGGGATGAAAATCAGCCACATAATTCGGCTCACAACTCAGCCTCCACCGCTAACCAAGACGTAGTTGCAACTCAGCTCGCTGCCATGCAACAGCAGTTTGGTGTCTTTCAGCAAGTGCTGGCTCAATTGTTAGCCCGAAACAATCCTGGTGATCCACTCATCAATCTGCTTAATCTTGCCCCACCACAACCTCCAGCCCCACCACAAAATCCTGAACCAGTTCAACATGCCCCCGCTGTTAGTGAATCTCAGGGCCAATCTCACATTGC